GGGGCATTTCTTGAGGAATCATGATCAATCCTTGATCAAATGATGGATATTACTTTAAAATGTTGATGTTGACCAAAAATATTGAAGTTTGACTGTATTTGGGCCACAATTGACTTTTGACCTAGTATAGTTGATTTTCAGGCATTTGAGCAGTTGACTGAGCAAACTTGTTGTTCAAGGCATGAAATTGGGCATGGATGATCTTGATAACATATTAGGACAATGGAGAACATTTAGGATTCCTGGGACTCACCCATCTTGCTTAAAATTGAAACCCTAGTTAGAGGCTTGTTGCATTAGGAGGAGAATTTGTCTGGTCAATTCTTGGTCATCCTAGGGCAAGTTGGGGACCTCTAGAAGCATGTCTTGAGTGAAATGAGAGGGAAAATTTTGGGGTACAACAGTGCCCAAACACTAAACAGAAGGCGTTTAATTCTTCGCCTCCTTAGGGTATGTTCGACAAGCCCATAATATTTGATCTAATGTCTTATGCCAGATTTTAGGCTTCTTAGAAACATGTTTCTTAATCAGCCCAGTTATCACTTTATTCGCAACCTCGACTTGGCCATTGGCTTGAGCATAATAAGGTGTTGAGGTTAACAATTTAAATCCCGTTTCAGATGTAAATTCCTGCATCTTTCAACCAATGAATACCGACCCTTGGTCTATAGTTATAATTTCAAGAATCCTAAACCTATAAATTATGTATTTCTGGATGAATTCAATCATCGTGTCTTGATCCACATTAACAAGAGGTATGGCTTCTATCCATTTGGTGAAATAATTTATCCCTACCAGGGATAAAACTCTGTTGTTTCGACAATGCAGGTTGAATTTCACCTATAATATCCAAAGTCCATCCTCTAAAGGGCCATAGGTTGATAATGGCATGCAATTAGCTTGTTGGCACATGTTAAATGCCTGCAAGCTTTTGAAACTCTTGACAACCTTTAGCGAAATCTATGCAATCCTTTAGCATGCTTGGCCAATATACACCTAGTCTAAATAACAACCATTTCATCTTATGGCCAGCTTGGTGAGCGCCACAAGCTCCATTGTGAACTTTAGACACTGCCACATATGCTTCAATTTCTCCAAGGCATTTAAGCAACACACTCTCAGAGGTTTTCTTGAACGATTCATTGCCCATACAGACATAGCTTAATACTTGGTACTTTATCTTCATGTCAGTACTTCCGACGGGATTCTCTAGATACTTTATAATTGGCTTTCACCAGTCTGTATCTAGTAAATTGTCAATGAAAAAATTTCAAAAATTTCATCCATATGATCTTCCCCCAAGCTTTTGGTGTTGACAATCCGGGTAACGTCGAGATGACTTTCTCCCTTACTTCAACAAATTCCTTCAGCTTGGTCGTCGACACTTTGTATCCAGATGCAATTTGGGCTAAATCATCTGCTTCCTGATTCTCTACTCTGGGCACATGCATAATTCTCACCATTTCGAAGTCTTCCAACAAATGATTCACAAGTGAAAAGTATCTCATTAAGTGCTTCTTAATACACTCATACTATCGCGTGATTTGTTTGATCACCAACTCTGAATCTCCTTTTATCTAGATTCGAGTGGCCCCCAAATCTCGCAAGATCTTAAGTATAGTAATTAAGGCTTTATATTCTGCCTCATTATTGGAACATTTGTCGTCTACTCGACATTTGAATCTTGTTGGTGTTTCTTCTGGGGAGATTATCAAGATTCTGACACCAGTTCCATTTTTATGGCTCGACCTATCGAAATATAATTTCTAAGAATTTGTGTCGACCACATTTACGAATGGCTTGCTTATTGCATGTTCTGCAATAAAATTGGCCGAAATTTGGCCTTTCATGGCTTTTAAAGGAAAATAAGAAAAAGAAAACCCGGTTAATGCCAATGCCCATTTCCCAGTTTGACTATGCAATATGAGCTATGATAGCATATGTTTAATAACATCAAAATGAGACGAAACATAAACTTCAACTAGTTTAATATATTACTTTAATTTCATACATGAGAAATACAAATATAAGCACAATTTTTCTATTGAACTATACCTATTTTCTGCATCTATTAGTATTTGACTAAGGTAATAAATGGGTCTCTTGATGCCAATATCATCCTCTTGATATAACATGCTCCCTATTGTTAAGTCGGACACAACTATATATAATCTCATGTTTTTATTTTGACGTGGCGAAAATAAGACTGGAGGCTTTGTGAGATATTCCTTGATTGCGTCGAAAGCCTCTTGCTACTTTAGTGCACATGATACTCCATAGGACAAAACAATACCTTATAGAAGTAATAATAATGTAAAGTATTGTGTTTGATTCATAGTGCTTCCAAGATGAGTAAAATTAGCATCTTTCGTACAAATTTCAGAAATAATGTATGGATGCATAATCTCTAGTCTTAAACACCCACAATGATATTTGTGTGGATGTGTTAACCGATTGATTTGATTCCTTTATTTACACAAATTTTCTCTAAACTAAAATTTCTAATAACTTGTTCATTTTCCATAATTACACTCTTTGATTGATCATTACTCAAACATATTGTAAAGTATTTACAGGAAAAAAAGTGACAAAGAAGTTAAGTTTAAGACCAAAACATTCAAGAAATTGCTTGAGTGTAGGGATAGAAAGGTGGATTTTATTTGTCACCTTTATGCCCCTCCCCATAAAAAAGGTTGAAAAAAAAACAAAGAAGTTAAGTTCAAGACCAAAGTATTTACATGAAAGGTCACAACATTCCCTCTTGAAAAGGTAAATGGTTAGGAGATCATCGTGTTCAAGATTAATTTCATAAAGTTTTCCTTAGTAGTATGAAGAAAGAAGCTTCTATTGCAAATACGTGGAGATGGGTAAATGAGGAGTGGATTTGGAGTTGGGAGGATAACCTCATTATTAAATGATAATATACAAGTGATAACCTGTCAACTTTACTTAATCTGCTGGAAGATTAGAGACCTTCTTTTATTGAAGAGGACAAGTTCTGTTGGAAAGGTGAACCAAATAAAATATTTTTGGTCAGATCCTATTACAAGATTGTAGAAAAACTCAAGCTTCACCAAGCCATTGCTGAGGAATTATCTTCATCTTTAAAAATCACGCAGAGAACCAAAACCCCTCTAAGGATCAAGATCTTTGGATGAAGGTTGTTTCTTAAAATATTTCCAACTGAAGATCAATTAAAGAAAAGATGCGTCCTTAACAACTTTATAGATCTTAATTGTGTGTAATTGTTTCACCGCAAAATTTCATTTGATTCACCGATGTAATCAATTTAGAGAAATAATCATTTATCTTTTGGCCCTCTCTTCCATATGCATCAAGTCATACTTCTTTCTTAAAAAGTGAAGCTTCACTTGCTTCGTATTTTCCCCACCATCATGATATTTCTTTAGAGTATCTCATGCTTCTTCCTTTGTTCTTGTCACATTTGAAATCTTTTTAAAATTAGTAACATCCACATTTTATTGAATGTAGAACAAATTCTTGCAATCTTTCTTCATTGACTCCTTGAATGTGACTATTTGCACATTTGTGTGGGTAGTGCTCCAAGTTTCTCATAACCATTACGTACCATCTTAATCACTTATTGAGCTCCAAGCAACAATTTTATCAAACCACTCCATATTTCCTAATTACTTCCATAAATTATCAAGATGTTCGATGAAAAATCACCATTTTTGTTCATTCTTGTTGATTAAGAATACTGAGAAATCACTTCTTACATGTTTCCTAATGATATCACCCCTCACAATTATATTGTATTTCTCTTGTATCAATATAAGTCCAGGTATCAAAATTGATTCATTTTGGTATCGAAAACCAAATCACTTACTGACATAAAAAATTTGGCAATTTCTCATCCCACCATTGCTATATGAAGCGCACTTCTGAAAATTCTAAAATGCCCTTGGGTGAATTCAGAGATGCATCTCTGAATGCACCAAATACTATTTTTTGGCAAAATTTAGTTCAGAGATGCATCTCCAATTACACCCCTAGAGTAAATTCAGAGATACATCTTCGAAGTCACAAAAAATTATTACAAGACCGAATATCAGAATACATGAAGGCCATTTATGAATCAGAAGACAACAACGTATCACTCTTAGAGGTTAAAGCTCCCAAGGTCAGTTATGACGATTATTAGGGTTATTTACAAATGTTAAGAGTATCAAATGGATAACATATGATTGAAAGCATAATTGTTGATCAAATAATTAAAATACAACTGCCAAATGCTCTTCTAGTTCGAGACGGAAGGGAACTGAATACAAAATTAGCAAAAGGAGCTAAATTTTTAGCAGCTAATTTTTTTTAAGGTAACTCTGTTGAATTGATACGTTAACTTTGCATGTCGTTTTTATCTTTATTTGTATTTGTTTTTCATTGAACATTTGGATTTACTTGTGATGCTAGAGAAAAAAAGGGAATTTTCAGTATTCTTGCTTGTCAAGCTAAAGAACAAACCCCCAAAGTCAGTAGTACATAAAAAGCCCATTTGGTGACTTCAAATATATATATGTTCGAATTTATCCTAGATATATTTGGAGATGCATCTCCAAACTAAATTTTACTAAATTTAATATTTAGTGTGTCTGAAAATATATCTTAAAATTTTTTACACAAAGCTCTCAGAAAATATATATAGGTACATTGAGAAATTTCCAATAAATTTGTTTAGGTATGGAAACCAACCCCTTGACATCGAAACCAACTATATTTTTCTTGTTGTGCAATAAAGCTTAATAAAACTTACAAATGGTCAAAGAATTTTTTATGATTAAAAAAAAAAAAGAATTGCGAGGGATTTTTTATTATTTAAATAGTTCTCTTTTTCGTGTTGAAGAAGAAGAAAAGCGCGCGCTTCAACCGTTTCTCTATTCTTCCAAAGTATTTTCATTCTTGGATAATTTTCTCGTCTTCTCTCTCTCTCTCTCTCTCTCTCTCTCTTGCCCTAGGGTTACCTATTTCTTTCTTCTCCGATGGAACCTCATCCCAATAGTTCCGGCACCGGCGCCAATGCTAGTGGCACCGCCAAAAGCGACACCGTAGCGAAGAAGAAAGTCATAAGCGAAGATATGGTACGTCGAAACACATGCATTTCGTTTTGTATGTTCTTTACTCATTGAACGGTTCAATTTCTGGAGAAAATTAATCGATTGTTTTTTGTGTTAACATACGCAGACAGATGAGGATTTGGCTTTGAAGCAGCAATTTGAGTTGTATGTTGAAAGAATTCAGGATTCCGACCCTGAGTTGCAGAAGGATGCTCTTGAGAGCATGAGGTAAACCTAGTTTCATACTTTTGATCTGAGTTGGATTTGACTATTTTTTCTTTTTGAACTGTGTATTAAACTGAAATATATGGTCTGTAATGTAGGCTAGAAATTAGAACCTCAACGAGCTCCATGACTTTAGTTCCCATGCCGATAAAATTTCTTCGCCCTCATTATGCCACTCTTAGGGCATTTTATGAAACAATGGCTGAATCAGTTTCGAAGGTATTGTCGTCACTGTGATTGGGTGTTTCCTTTGTGTGAAATAATAATTACATTGTATGGTATTCTATCATGGTGGTTGACTAATTTGCGTTTCTCTCATTACAGAAATACTTAGCAGACATTTTGTCAGTTTTGGCTCTCACCATGTCTGCTGAAGGAGAACGAGTGAGTTTGCTGTTTTAGAGGATTTTCTTGATTAAAACTTGGTGGTGCACCTTCTATCTTCTAATCTGGTAGAGTGAGATGATATTTATTTTTATGTAAATTCTTTCCAATGCATTTTCATTTGTCTATGGCTCTGTCAGGAAAGCCTGAAATACAGATTATTTGGTTCAGAGGGTGACATAGGCTCATGGGGCCATGAGTATGTTAGGTGAGTGTAAATTCATTACTGGGGAAGTTAGAATTTTGGTGATTGGAACATGGCAGAATAGATGTTATTGATTTCATCCATCTCATTTATGTTTTATCTCATTGTCAGAAATTTGGCTGGGGAAATTGCGCAAGAGTACATGCAAAGACAGGTTGGCCTTCTGGCTGTTAGAAACGTAGTAACAGTTGAAAGGAAGAAGAAAAAGAAAGAAAGGAAGAGAGAGAAAGTAGATCTGAAACTCTAACTAAATCGTGTATTACAATAGAGGACAAGACTGAGTTATATACTCAGCACAATGATATTACAATTTTACCCTTTCTACTATTGATGTATATATTCTAATAGCTCCCCTAGAAACCCTAGGTCACCCCTGATCCAGAGTTATCCTGTCACAGACCCGCAACTTGCTTCTTAGTTGCAGGAACTTGAGAGATGAGAGGGGCTTGGTGAGTAAATCTGCATATTGATCAAATCCAGGAATGTGCTTGACTATCAAGCTCTTGTTCAGCACTTTTTCCCGTAAGAAAAAGATGTCTAGTTCCATATGTTTGGTCCTAGCATGTAGAATAGGATTGTGTGACAATGACACAGTGCTGAGATTGTCACACAACAGGACAGGTGTAGTAAATGGCATCTTGAGCTCAGTAAGCAGTGATTGTATCCACAATACTTCTGCAGCAGAATTAGCAAGGCTCCTGTACTCTGCCTCTATACTAGACCTTGCAACTAAGGTCTGTTTCTTGGACCACCAAGAAACAAGATTAGGTCCAAGAAAAATGCAGGAACCTGAGGTGGATTTCCCATCATCAGGATCTGCTCCCCAGTCAGCATCAGAAAATGCTGTAATGGAAAGGGGAACTTGAGTGTTAGCAGCCTGCAGATGAAGCCCATGACAGAGAGTCCCTTTAAGGTACCTGAGAATCCTTTTAACAGCATCCCAGTGGCTTTCAAGAGGATTAGACAGAAACTGGCAAGCTTTGTTGACTGCATAACTGATCTCAGGCCTAGTAATCGTGGCATACTGCAGTGCCCCAACAACTGACCTATAGAAAGTAGGATCCTGCACCACATCTGTGCCATGTTTGGTAAGCTTAAGACTAGATATCATAGGGGTAGGCACACCATTAGCCTCACTAAGATTAGACTTGACCAGAAGATCTTTTAGATATTTTGTCTGAGACAAAAACAGGGATCCATCCTTTAAGTGAGATACCTCAATACCCAGAAAGTACTCCAATTCTCCTAGCTGTTTAAGTGCAAGCTGAGCATGCAGTTTATTGACCAGTTCCTGAATATGCTGTGCAAAATTTCCAGTTACAATTATATCATCCACATATACTAACATAATGATAGTATATGAGGGTGTGACAAGGGTAAAAAGAGATGGATCACATCTGCTAGAGGAAAAACCAAACCCCTTTAGGGCTGAAGTTAGTTTCTCAAACCAGGCTCTAGGCGCCTGTTTAAGCCCATAGATGACTTTGTTCAGTTTGCAAACAAGAGAGGCATCACTGGAAACTTCAAAGCCAGGAGGGTGCAGCATATATACTTCCTCCTCAAGTGTGCCATTAAGGAAGGCATTATTCACATCCAATTGTGTGATATGCCACCTCTTGGAGATAACTATAGTGAGCACGATTCTAACAGTTACAGGCTTAACCACAGGTGAGAATGTCTCAATAAAATCAAAGCCCTGTTGCTGGTGGAAACCCTTGGCAACTAGTCTTGCTTTGTACTTGTTAAGGGTTCCATCAGGGTTTTGTTTTACCTTGAACACCCATTTGTTCCCTATGGCCTTCCTATGAGGAGGCAAACTGGTTAAAGTCCAGGTGTTGTTTTTCAAGGGAGCCTGATATTCATCAGTCATAGCAACTTTCCAATGGAGATCTTTTAGGGCAGCTTTATAAGATGTGGGCTCCAGTTCAATGAGAAGAAGGGTGGGACGCTGTCTGGGTTGTACTATGCCATTCTTCCTCCTAGTGGTCATGGGATGCACATTGTTAGGGTGTAAAGGTGGCAAAGAAGAATTATCTGCGGGGACATCAGAAGCAGACAAATCAGATGCAGAGCCAGAGACAAAGGGCTCAGATATAGGTGCTAGAGAGTTAGAACTGGAGCTGACTGAAGTGTTGTTGTTGGTCTGAGCAGATGATATGGGACTAGAAAGAGAAGCTGGCTCAGGGTTGATAGAAACAGAGGGATGAAGACTGCTGGGACCCTGATGGAGTGAGGAGGCTGTGAGATTTGAGAGAGACTGATTGGAAATGGTGGAGATAGAGGGATAGAAGAAACAGAAGGAGCTTCAGTAGTCACACTCTTGGCATAGGGAAACCTAGCTTCATTAAACACTACATCTTTAGAAATGTAGATTCGACCATTGGAAGCTAGGCACTTGTGCCCTTTGTGATTGGAAGAATATCCCAGGAAAGTGCATTCTTGTGAGTGAAAATTGAATTTATTGGGAGAATAAGGTCTGAGGTAAGGGTAGCAGGCACACCCTAACACCTTGAGAAACCTGTAATCAGGGGCACATCCATACAGCATGAAATAGGGAGATTTCATGGCTAGAAGAGGAGTGAGCATTCTGTTGATTAAATAAGTGGCAGTGAGGCAGGCATGATCCCATAATTGCAAGGGAAGACTAGCTTGAGACAACAAAGTCAGCCCTGTTTCAACAACATGCCTGTGCTTCCTTTCCACAGTGCCATTTTGATGATGGGTGTGAGGGCAAGCAAGTCTGTGTGCAATGCCCTTGGTGAGAAATAACTTAGTGAGAGACTGAAACCCTCCTCCACCATCAGTCTGAACTGATTTTACAGCAGTTATGAATTGTACCTCTACAGCAGTGATGAAGTGTGTGATGGTGTGCAATACATCAGACTTTAACTTGAGAGGAAACACCCATGTATATTTAGAAAAAGCATCTACATAAGTCAGCAAGTATTTATATCCACATGTTGAAGTCATAGGAGCTGGACCCCATACATCCAAAAAGAGTAAATCAAAAGATTGAGTATAAGTTGTGTGTGAAAGTGTACTAGGCAGCCTATGCACTTTTCCTAGGCAGCAGGGAACACAAAAATCCAAGGGAGACTTGTGTGGCACCGGAACATTGAGAGATTGCAGAGTTGACTTGAGCACTTCATGGTGAGGATGCCCCAGCCTATTGTGCCATAAGTTGTAAGTAGATGCTGAAGTAGAAATTGAACCGCTTGTGATATGATTTATTGAAGGCAAGGGTTGGAAAGGATCAAAGGAGTAAAAACCATCTTTATTCACCACACCCTGCAGCAGCACTTCATTGGCTTGTGTTTTGACAAAACACCTGTCAGCATGGAACTCAAAATAAACACAGTTATCCTTGGCAAACTTGTTGACAGACATGAGATTCTTAGTGATAGCTGGCACAAGTAATAGGTGATTGAGTGTAAGAGTGGTGTGTGTGTGCAGAGGTGAGACAAAGGTAGTTGAGCCAATAGAAGTTATAGGGAGTCCTTGCCCATTTCCAAGCAAGACCTGATCAGTACCAGGGAGTGTCATGCTTTCAGACGTATAGGCAGCATTGTTGGTAACATGGTGAGTTGCTCCTGAATCAGGGTACCAAACTTGAGAAAGTTGACCAACAGCAGCTGCAGTCGCATCTGTACCTGTACCAGTGAAATAAGCTTGTGGTTGTTGTGCTGGTTTTGCAGGAAACCCTGGTGGTGGTCCTCTTAGAGCTGGTGTAAGCCACTGATTAGGAGTAGGAGCAGTCCACTGTGATTGAGCAGGCATAGGCATAGCTGGAGCACTTTGAGTCCACTGATTCCAGTTTTGATACTGAGGGTGTGACACCTGAGCTTGTGACCACATGTTAGGCATCATTGCTGTGTGTCTGATAGCACACACTAGCATCATGTCCCATCTTATGACAAATTTGACACTGCACCTTGTATCGTCCACCAGAACGGCCACCTCTGTCCCTGTAGGCTCCACGTCCACCACGAAAACCTCCACGTGAATCACCATAGCCAGTGACAGGACCATATGTAGCTTGAACTGAAGCATCTTGAGCAGTCTGTGTCGCATCTGCAGTCACAGGAGGTGTAGCCTGAGCTACGTTGACAGAAATAGGTTCAACAACCACACTCTTCTTAGTCTTCTCTAGTTTCGCTTCATGAGAATGAAGCATAGATTCAGCTTCAATGATAGGACAAAGATGAGGCCTGTACTGGATGATTGAAGCTAGGGCATTGTACTCCTCTGGTAAACCATCAAGAATGGCTTCAATTTGATCATGACGCGAAATCGGATCGTCAATTGACTCAAGCACGTCCACAATTCGTTGAATACGAGCAAGATACTCTGTAACCGTTTTCTCCCCTTTCGTAATCGATTTGAGCTCCGAACGAAGTTGGCACGACTTCGCATTTGTGCGCGCGAACATGTATTTGTGAATCTCATCCCAAATCTGATGAGAATGCACACAACGAACAACGCGAGGAAGAACGGAGTCAGACAAGGTGGTGAGAAGCCACTTGAACAAGAGCGAGTCCTGTTGATCCCAAGAGACATACACTGGATTTTCTGCATCGTTCTCACGATCTGCTTCAGTGAGATAGCGTGGAGGAACGATAGGGCTCACCAGAAGACGATGAAGTTTGTGCGTTCTGATGATCCCTTCAACTTGTTGTTTCCACGAACGAAAGTTATTCTCATCAAGTTTCAGAGTAATTTGTTGCGCAAACGTCTTGAACGTGTTCTTCATGTTGAGCGCCGCCGTCGCCGGCGTTGCACCGGTCGTGTTCTCAGACTCACTATCGGAAGCCATGGCCAAGGATCGAGCTTAAGCTCTGGATACCATGTTAGAAACGTAGTAACAGTAGAAAGGAAGAAGAAAGAGAAAGAAAGGAAGAGAGAGAAAGTAGATCTGAAACTCTGACTGAATGGTGTATTACAATAGAGGACAAGACTGAGTTATATACTCAGCACAATGATATTACAATTTTACCCTTTCTACTATTGATGTATTATTCTAATACTGGCTAATTTAAATGTTTTTTTTTCCTTCTTTTCATTACTGATCAGTTCTACCATTAATTTGTTTTGGTGCTTCTACAGATCGACAAGGCCCCAATGGAGGAATTAATAGAACTTGTTCGACAAATAGTTGCTTTTCATATGAATGTAGGAAATACAAAACACATTGTGCTCAACTATACAGAAATTGATGTGTTAGATGAAGGCTGTTAAGTTTTGATAACTTTTAAGTTGACTAATTTTTAATTGCTGCAGTACAACTCTGAGCCCGAAGCTGTTGACCTTTTAATGGAGGTAACGTGTAAGATCCTTTTTTAGTTTTATCCCAACTACTTCAGATGGTGAACTGAATGTTGTTTTCATGTAACTAATGCTCAATATTAGGTTGAGGACCTTGACATGTTGAATGAATATGTAGACAAAACAAATTTTAAGAGGACTTGCCTGTATCTCACCAGTTCAGCTGGGTAAGCGCAAAAGACCTCAATTTATGCAGGTTTTAAAAGAAATCAGAGTTCAAAACAGTTATAAAGAAATTGGATGTTAAAAATCATGTGAGATTGTGAAACAAATATAAAATCTTCAAGCTGGATCGACAGTTGGACCTTTTAATACTTTTATGGATCAGGTTTGAGGATGGTAGTAGTACTTTGTTTATTTTGTATTTATACAGATACCTTCCTGAACCGAATGACACGAAAGTTCTGGACCTTGCATATTCAATTTATTTGAAGTTTGAAGAATATCCAAATGCTCTTCGAATTGCATTGTTCATGGATAAGCTGCAGGTGTGACACTGGAATTTTGTCAGTCTGTCTTTAAAGTATTTCTTTAACTGTGGTATGTGGTTCTTTTAAAATCTTGTTTTTTTGTCAATTCTATGTGGCCTTAAGAAAAGTACTTTCTATATTTTGTTCCGTAAATGCTTGTGGTTTGGAACTGATGAGTTGCGGTATTGTTGTTAGTATGCGAGGAAGGTGGTTACTTCTTGCAATGATGTGCATCAAAAGAAGCAATTATGTTACATTATTGCACGTCATGTAAGTCCTGGATTCTGTGCTAGTGCTCTGAATGTTTCTCTGAGTGATAATAGGTTTATGTTGGCAAGTGACAAAGCTAAAGGGAATCAAAGGGACTGAGAAGAAGAAGATTTCACTATCAGCTTTATTGAGACTCTCTTTTGATGATTTTTGTGATGTGTGTAGGGAATTGCTTTTGTGCTCGACGCAGAAATGGCTGGAAATGAAGAGGACAGAGAAATGTTGCAGGATATCTTATACAATTCTAAGTTAAGTGAAGGATATCTAGCTCTTGCCCGTGATCTTGAAGTCATGGAAGCCAAGTCCCTTAGGGAAATATACCAGGTGTGACACTGATAATAAATTTAGTCCCGCCTCAATGAGTCCCGGTACATGTGTAGTTTTTACATCTAATGCCCTGAGATTAGAATTGTAAATAATTAAACTATGGTCCAATTTGATGAAAGGGCATGTAAATAAATCATGCTCTTATTATTTGAAGTACAACTATTAGTTTTGCTGCTTGCATATGTTTGCTTTTAATTCTAAGATTTTTAATAGTTGTATGTGATTGTTGAACAATTGGTTCTGATTTTTTATACATGTGTTGAACTTGGTGCCCATATTTTAAAAGCCAAAAAATAATCTGCAATGCAAGTATGTGTGAAGCTGTTTCCAGAAGCTACTATTTTAATTGCCAAAACATTGCTTATGCAGCTATTTTGAGTTTTAATTTTGAAAGACTTGTATAATTATTGTTTTTAAATGCATCTTAAATTAAGTCAACTTTTCCTTATTCAGAAAAAGCAGAAGTCAACTATGTTTGAAGCTCTTTCCAGAAGTCTGTTGAAATTAAGTTATCAGGAAATAGTTCTAGCTATGCTATATGGTATTTTTTTGGGTCAAGGGTCGATTTTTAATTTTATTTGAACCTTATACTTTAATCTGCTTGATTTTTCCAGCCTCGATTGCTTGATGGACACACAAATACTAGTGCAAAAGTTGATTTAGCCAGGAAGAATCTTGCTGCTACTTTTGTTGCTGCATTTGTAAATGCTGGCTTTGGTCAGGTACAACGAACCTCAAATTTCAAGATTGTATTGTGGGTTGCTAATCTCTTGTATTTCTTCTACTTTCCTTCCTTTTCCATTATTGTTGTGCAGGCCATGTTAATGAGTCTTACATTAGCTGCTCCAAGTGGCTCTTTTGAAGATTGGGTTTTCACACATGATGAACACGGGAGGACTAGTGCTGTAGCATGCCTGGTATAAATTTTCTCACCGAGTCTTCATTACTAGTTTATGGATCATATAAATTCCATTTGTGATACTTATATTATCCATGTGATATATCAGGGTATGATTTCACTTTGGAATGTTGACTCTGGTCTGGAACAACTTGACAAGGGCTTTCACCTTAAAGATGTGTATGGCTTTGCTGGTGCATTATTGGGAGTTGGTATTGTCAATTGTAACATAAAAAATGATTGTGACCGGGTTAGTTCTATTTATACTTTCTTTTGTGTAATATGATATGCATTTTTTAGTCCTGTAATAGACCGTATTTGATTCTATTTTAGGCCATCACACTCCTAGAAGACCACACAGTTAAAGAAGAACGCTCCTCGACCAGGATTGGCGCAATTATGGGATTGGGAATAGCATATGCAGGTTCCAAAAATGAGCAGGTTATCTGGTTATCTACATTCTTTTACAAATCTTGTTTCAGTTATACTGCTTGTTGAGATACATGTGGATTTTTACTTGCAAATGTAAAACATTCTGCTTTATTCTTGCTTCTTCAGCTACGACACCTACTGACAGCTATTCTCATTGATGATGAAAATTCAATTTCTGTGACTGCTTTCACTGCAATTTCATTGGGCTTGATTTATGTGGGTTCTTGCAATGAGGAAGTTGCTGAAACACTCATATCTGTACTTATGGCCCGGATTGAAGCAGAGTTGGAACAGCCCCTTACAAGACTTTTACCTCTCGGCCTTGGTCTTCTTTATCTTGGAAAAAAGGTTATTAGATGTTGGGCAGTGTCAGTTTTTTTTTTTTCCTTCCTCTTGTCTTTTCAAATTATTGTAATGGGCAATCTGGTTCATCAAAGCTCTCACCACGTTAACAGTCTAGAGAAGGGACGGAGTCTATTGTAGGTAGATTTATCTTACATTTGCAAAGGATTCGTAATCTATCTTATTTAATTTCTGAAAACATTTGATTGTTAGGAGGGGTTTTGCTATTACGTTAGGTTTTTCATAAGAACTATTAGGTTAGGTTAAAGTCCCTCCAGCAGCATTCACTCTTCATATCGTGCTTTGTAACAATAGGAAAGTGTGGAGAGGCAACTGCTGAACTTTCAAAGACTCTTGATGTAAAAATGAGAAAGTATTGGGACACGACACTGCTATCCTGTGCCTATGCTGGAACAGGGAATGTTCTCAAGGTACACTCTTATAGATAACCAGCAGTTTTTTAAAGAAAATTCTAATGCATTTTTGTGCTTATAGTTTCTGGTGCTTCTTTCATGCAGGTACAAAAGCTTTTGGGTCGATGTTCGCAACATCTTGAAGAAGACGAAGTGAACCAGGGTCCTCCTGCAGTGCTTGGAATTGCTATGGTAGCAATGGCTGAAGAAATAGGTCTTGAGATGGCAATTCGATCACTGGAACATCTCCTACAGTACGGAGAGCAGAATATTCGCCGAGCAGTTCCTCTGGCACTTGCTCTACTGTGTATATCAAATCCAAAGGTAAAGTGGATTGGCATCACTTTACTTTATCACCTTGGTAATGCTATTATTTAATTGTGAAACAGCTTATGACCTTGCTCCCATTAGATGGTCAAAGTAAACATTTGTTATATGCATGGACAGCGTTATATCTGGTTACTTTTGCTAACCCTTAACTCGATCATCATAGGTCAATGTTATGGATACCTTAAGCAGACTTAGCCATGATACTGATTTAGAAGTAGCAATGGTAAGATGGTATAATCACTTCATTCATTATTGGTCTTTCCCCTGATTCTTATTTGTAAGTATAAAATCATTTTGTGTGCTACAGGCAGCAGTTATCTCCTTAGGTCTAATAGGTTCTGGAACCAACAATGCTCGAATTGCTAGCATTCTTCGCAATCTTTCAAGATATTACTGCAACAATACCAACCTTCTATTTTGTGTATGCTTCATCTAGTTGTCTTTATTTTCTAATTCTGGGTATTTGGATAGCCATTGATTTTCCTCTCTACAGGTGCGGATTGGCCAAGGTCTTGTACATATGGGAAGGGGCTTATTAACACTTAATCCATATCATTCTGATCGCTTTTTACTATCGCCGTAAGTGAATCCTTATTTTCCCTTCTCCCTTTGTCTTTGATTAAATGTTGTATTGGAAAATTGCAAGGCAACTGAGAAAGTGCTTAGAATGAAATGTACTGCTTTACTATAATAATTTCTAATGGATGTTATCTTCCTTTCAATTTTACAGGACAGCACTTGCAGGTCTAGTTACTGTGTTGTATGCATGCCTTGATATGAAAACTGTCTTGTTGGGAGAATATCACTATGTTCTCTACTTCCTTGTTTTAGCAATGCAGGTTTGTTCAGTGATTCACTCCTTATCCCCCTCCTACATTTTAAGATAACCTTAATAATATTTTGTTGCAACAGCCGAGGATGTTGTTGACTGTAGATGAGAACTTGAAGCTTCTATCGGTGCCAGTTCGAGTTGGTCAAGCAGTGGGCGTTGGACAGGCTGGTCGTCCCAAGATAATCACTGGTTTTCGGACCCACTCCACTCCTATTCTCCTGGCTGTCGGAGATATGGCAGAGCTAGCTACAGAAAAGTAATAAAGTACATCAATGCCTTGAAATTTTATAACTGTCTTTCTAATACTAACAATTGCTTTTTATGCAGATATATACCTCTGTCACCAATTCTTGAAGGTTTGGTAATTTTGAAGAATAATCCACACTATGTGGAAGAGTGAAGACCATAATGATGCTTTTTTTGTTATCGTTGAATTGATTTTTGAAGTGATGATTAGTTGTACATTTTTAGGAAAACTGAAACATTTGATATCCCCTCTGACCTGGGTGGCAATGCAACCCAACTGCCCATTTTATATTGAACGATAACATCATATATACCACATCATACTAAGACAAAGGAATTTTGTCCATTGAAAAGGTGGTGAACACCATAAGAGTAAGACTATAGTACTATTGTCAAAATTCTAACTCTAGCTATATGAATAACAAAGAGTTTAATTATTATGCATCCTCGGTTAAAGTCACTCTTGTGTATGATTTTAAAAATAATTAAAATCACTTATTAAAAAAATAATTAAAATCAAGGTCAAATGTTTTTAATAATTTAATAATTATATTTTTTAATTGATGATATAATTTTTTTTACATTGATAACACATTAATTAAATTCATAAATAAAAGTCATCGCAAAAACCTTGAACAGAATGATCACCATAAGCAATTTTGTTGTAATTAATATGCAAGGATTGCATCATCACATGATTCGCTCCACAACCATAAATAATCAACAAATATATATAACAACCACTAAATCATTGGAATTTTTTTTAACAATACCCATGTTTAAAAAAAAAACACAAATAACTATATTTCGGAGAAAATTACGCAAATAATCATGTTTCAGAAAACGTTATAATGCAGTAGCTATTTCAGATGGCGAATGCATTGCTTTGTTTAAAGGATGCGTCAAGTGAGATGACGCCTAGGTGTATGTCATTTGTCCTAAGCCATCTTGAAAGGCGCTTAGGTACAAAGTAATTTTATTTTTATTTTTTTGTTAAAGAATTAAAAGGCAATGTCGTTGCAAATGAAAGTTGATTTTCAAAAATAATTAAACATTTACATAATGAGAATAAAAAATACACATCATTTAGTTGTTTTCAGGGACTCGATAATGACTCGTAGTTCCGCACCCGCGTCCTCACCTAACTTGTGGTGCGTTTCAACGTATTTCTTGTTGCGGTTGGATCGAGGGCCCTGTGAAGTCAATGCGTTCAGGATCCATGAAAATTGTTAGATCATTATATCAGGAAGATCCGTTTTCAAACAGTCGGTTACCCATGTCCTCAAAGTTTAGTCGTATTGATTGGGGGTGAGGTTCCATGGGGGTCAATAGCACTGGTCGTCTGAATAAGGGGGGTAAATAGAAAATGAATCTTGTGGGGTTTGGTATTGTGATTGTTGGGTTCTATGGTGATAGGATGGCTGATGGTAAGTTGGATTGGTTGGTGAATATTCTTCAAGTTGGTCAATGTATGGGCTAAGGTGAGATGACGAGGGACCCACATCAGAATGTCATATGTATGGTCGTTGTTCTTGGTACTGTGATTGTGTGTGGGGCATGTGTGTGTATTGGTGTTGGTCTTGGGTTTGAGGTTAGGTGTAAGTGGATATGTATCGCCGTTGTATTTGGCGGGAGGTTGATGTGTGTTGGATTTATTATTGTGTGGTGTATGATTATGCCTATTGTGTGCGTGAGTCGATCAAATACCTCAGGTGAGACACATGCATTTCAGGGTTAGTAACCGATTTGTACCAATCAATATATTGATCTGTGTGTCGCATATTAATTTGGTTGATGAAAACAAGAAATTATAAGACATATTGGTGACGCCTACGCCACATCTTACACCATTCCGAAGTGAAAATTTTCCAATTATTAACACCCCATTGGGCGTCGACCTTTTTGAGATGCCAACGTGACAAAGAAGTTGGATCACATGATATTTCTTGATGCATTCAGAACTGCATCTTGACACGGTCGTTGTGGTGCATCTCCACAATGTTGAACCATATGATTGCAGTCTTTGCAGTCCAAACTGCTGCATCTTCGGGGTTGAGTTCATGGTCCAAACCCAAATATAGTCTCCAGATAAAATGTGGATAAAAATTAATCAGAATATTGAAAACGTTAAAAATAAATGATTTAAAAATAGAAAAGTTTAGAGGTACCACATACATCATCTGGGTCAAGGTGGTCCAAAGAATTACGGTATAGAGCGATATTGAATCTTGGATTCTTGCTGTAATCCATACCCCTTACACAGTACCTAAAGGAATGAAAAATAATAATTAATTTTATACATCTATTTGGAGAAAGGATGGATAATAAATTATTTAAGCTATTGACTTACTTTGTTACGTATGGGAAAATAAATGCATTGTTGTTGGCGCAGTTTAGGGACTCTATTCTCCACCAATCCCGTGCTTGGAGCAAGAAAGCGCATCCATAAAAAGTATATTTGTCATTTGTTACATTTTTATATAATGAACTGTATAGTTGGGCTAAAACAGCGGAACCCAACTATAATTTCTTGTTTTATCAAAGTTCATAAGCAAACTTAAATACATAAATTTACACTATTCTCTGTACTTTCGGGAAATAACAGGCTTCAAAATAGTATCATAATATAATTTCTAGCTTTACTTATTTTTGCCTCGTCGGTTGAATTTTCATTCAACTCAAGAGTCTCATAATGCTTTTTAAGTACGGTTAGTAATATACCTTGGCCCCTAGCACCAGTTGCTTCTACCATATCTTTGCCCAACAATTCCTCGCATGGAGAATTGGATTGTTGAACCGACTCATTCACTCCCTTAACATCGATAGGGAGACCTAATAACATGTACACGTCCTCTAGTGTGACAGTACATTTACCTATTGATATATGAAAGGTGTGTGTCTCGGGTCTCCATCTTTCCAACATTGCAAGAATAAATTTGGAATCAATCATGCAGTTAAATATTTTTATAACATTTCCAAAACCAACATATTCTAGATATGGGACGATAAACATGTCCGGAGCAATGTAGTTGTGTGAGTGGCATCTAAATATTTTAGTATCCTAAATTCAAAATGTAAATCGTGTAAGAGTTTATAAAATGTATAAAATAATTAATTTATAAAATTTATATATATGATAAAAGAATATATAAAATGATAAAAAGTTACAAACGCGACAATGTTTTGTCTTGTTCCTCTGTGAGAATCGCCCATTGTGAGAAGAACCATATTTGAAATTGTATAAGACAATGAAAGAGTTTGTATCAGAGAAAGTGAGTACTTGTTATGCAAAGCAAGTGTCTGAGGCGTCACATTTATAGGCAAATTTGTATAGAGGTGAGTTAATGAAGTGGTTGAGGGTTCTATGCATGTAGAACACATGTCACCAATGCACCAAGTGGGTTGGCGTCTCCATGCACTTTATAGTGCACGAGCCATTCAAAGTGGCGTGGGCCAGGCTTAGGATGGTAGCATGGATGGAAACATAGGTGCAAGTGTAGGTGGTAGGCATGCATGCTACGTGACAAACCTATAAGGGATGTGACTTCCCAGTTGGTGCCTTAGGCCAATTATATGAGATTCTCCATTCCAATTGACGCCTCATTGGTAGATCAAATTTGTCTTCTTCGTCTCATCTGCACATCATTTATTCTTCTACATGCACCTTATGTTATCACCACTCAAACAAATTCTCACATACTCAAACACTCAAATACACAAACACAATATCCTCTGCAACATAATATGTTATCAGTGCACATTTCAATGGAGAGACTCACAATTGTGATGTCTATAGTTTTTATTTAGAAACACTGATAACATCTAATTTTGCTTAAACAGAAATCCAATTTTTCATATTTCAAAAAACCATTAGAGCTCAAACTCGAACAAGGTCCAGTGTCACACATGTTCTACCAAAATATGATTTTTTTTGGTGAGAACCAAATAATATTTTATAAGGTAGAGGTTCAAGATAACGAGAACCTTCAAAATATGTTTTTTAGTCATGAGTATTCTGGGTACGACTTGATTGAGTTGTACATTGTGCTGCAGAAGCCTCAACTATCACAACCAACTCAATCACAAATGGTTGATCCTCTCGAAGACAAACAAGAAGAAGTAGATATTATTGACGAAGAAGAGGAAGATGAAGAGTTAGAGTTTGACAACATGGTCAATGATGATTCTGAAGACGATGCGCTACCTGAAATACCTCCAAATGAAATCAACACACCACCTTCACACATGACAAACTTCAACAGGGCGGGGATGAAGCGTCATCAGATGTTTTTTTAACCCGTATATGTAGTCAGATGAAAATTTAAAAGAGAAAGAAAAATTTCATTCAAGAGAAGATTGTATGCGAGTTATAAAATTTTTTTACATGTTAAACTCTGTCGATTTTAAGGTAGATCGGGTAAATCCAGAAAGGTATAAGCTCAAGTGTGTTCACCCAGATTGTATGTTCAGGCTCACTACAAATGGTTGGCATGACCCTCCTTCTATGCATGTGTACTGAATTAGACATATCGTACAAAATTTCACGAGGGAGATCAAAGACAAGGCTCTTAGGAAAATAGTTATGAATGCAGGGTATGCATTAACATAACCTTCGTTCAAACACTATCGCAACGAGATCAGATTGTCAAATTCAGATGCAGGTAGGTGGATTGATAGTACTCCAGTGGAGAAATGGACAAGGTCATACGACAATGGACAACGATGGGGCCACATGACAAAAAATCTTATTTAATCAATAAATGGTGCATTAAAAGGCATATGAAACCTTCCAGTAACCGCTTTGGTTAAATCAACATATTTTAGGATGGCTTCGTTGTTTGCAAAAAGAGGTGAAATATGGAACATAGTCTTACAATCGGGACAACTATGGAGTGAAAGTTGCATGAAATATATTAAGGCAGAAGGTGTCAAAGCCAACACCCATCTTGTTATAAGGTTCGACTGACATAGCCACAACTTCATTATCAAAGAGACAATCGACTACATCAAGGGGCTGCCAAGACAAGAGTATAGGGTTATACTACCATCTTATTAGTGTGATTATGGAAAGTTTCAAGCCTTTCGTATTCCTTGATCTCATGTCATTGCGACATGTACTTATACTCATCAAGATGAATTACTACTTCTATCTCC